ACATTATGTAACATTTTCCATACAGAATCACATATACATGGGTTTGATCCTGCTAGGTGCTGTGCATCTGCAGAAAGGTGAGAACATAAGCACTTTGGGACAAGACCATGGCTTATTTTATATCTGTATAGTACTTAACACAATGGGATTGACTGGAGCTTTGGAATGTTAATCTAATATAAATAAGGTGGAGAGAGCAAGTCAGTTTTCACAAGCAGGATCAAGTCTGGAGGCCTTACACTGCAGTGACTAACTGCTGCTATTATTTACTTAATAGAGCTGTGAATTTCTGGGATCCCATATCTCCCATTAATTAGCTCCTCTATGTATATTATCAACCACATTTTAAGTCCTAAAGTTTATTGATAAACTGTTTCATATTATAAATCTGCCGCCATCAAGTAAAACACAGATAGTAATGGTCCAGGAAAAACATTAGCATGACAGTGAACAGTCAGAAAAATCTCCCAAGAAATTTAACTCTATTGCTCTCAAACTCCTTACTATTTGTCCATTCAAAAGTCACATTTATGTATCATGTTTACTAGGGATGTTAAATTTAGTTTAATCAACACATTGTCTAGTCGATGGATTTTCCATCAACTAGGTGATAAGCAGGAGGAGCTGTAGCAGGGTTAGCTCCTAGCCCGGGAACTGCAGCTCTGCCTTTTAAATATATTAAGAGCCTGTCATCTCTTAATACATTTAAAAGGATAAAGTGCAGCAGGAGGGACCCAGTATGAGCCAGAACACCTGATTCCCCGCTGCACAGGGTTCCTCCCTGCTGCACACCAGCATTTTAAATGTATTAAGATACATTTAAAAAGCAGAGGAGCAGTATCTGGTACTGGGCGCGAGCCAGCAATCAGCTTATTCCCGGCTTGCACCAGGTCCTCACTGCCTCCTGCGGAGATGGTGCTGGGGGGAACTGTATTTTAAGATGGATCCCCACAGCACCAGCTCCTGCTGCCCCCCCTTGCTGCCTCTGAGAGGGAAGCGATTAGTTGAGGGACTAGTTCACTATCAGATAGACAACTAGTCACTTACATTCCTAATATTTACTACTTTAGGTCTCGGAGAATGACATTTGCCATACTTAACTTACACTGCTTTTTGCAATGTACTTCAGGTAAAAATAGTTAATTATTAAAATAACAAGAACCACTTTTTACCAAACATGGTATGAAAAATACATATTTCTCTGTGTGCGTGCTTATGTAAAATATTAGGAACAAAAAGAAAGTAATACTGGTGCCTAATAAAAACAGTAATAATTTGTTTGGATACCGAACATCTAGTCTATTAATACAAGAAATTTCCTTCAAACCCAAATATTTAGTTATGAATCATAACTCAATATTCAGAAAATAAGTTAAAAAAAAACCACTTACAGGACGCGGAGGGAAGTTAATCCCTGAAAGATGAATTCCTTGATTTCTTGTATTTGATTATGTTGTAAGGAACTGGAATGTGGAGAGAAAAAACGTTATTTGGAGGCTAATTTCCTCCAAAATGAAGGATATTTGGCTTTTGCTTTTATTAGTATCTTCTCCTTTACTGCTTTCCCTAGTTTGTATCTCTGTGGATCTAAGTGAAATCAGAACAATGGGAATAAGTTAAGAAAGATACTGATCAATGCATTTGACAGATACGATTTTTCTGATCATCCTTCCATTTTGAGCCCACTGTTTAAATAACTGTTTTCTACTTCACAAGAATACACATGGTTATTTTAGTTTGAGAGATTAATTCAATATCTGAAGCCCTCTTATGAGTTTCTAGCCAATTTGAATTAAGAACCCATTTGGCAGAAGCAAACATTGACAAGTGTGGTTTGAACTACCTCTATGCTGGAAGTGTCACTTTGCGACATTGATACAAACTGGCATTTAACACAAACCTACTCACTTCCAGGTTGAGATGATTTAGGCCAAGCTCTAGCCCAGAGTGAACCATTTCCTTCTAAAACACAGGTTTATAAAAGGAAAACATGGAGAGTCCCTTCACGGTGCAAGAGCTAACAAGCCGGTTATATTTCCAGTTCATTCACTTCTTATGCGTCCACCTGACAATCAACATTCATAGAAGTGCTCCTGTATTCTAGTCTATATATCTAAACTTTAAGGAATATTAAGGCAATGTAGCTTTAGCAGAAGACAACTGGTCCCAGAACTCACTGTCCTTGATAGAAAACGCAATTTCTGCTGGACTGACAGTCAAGGCACAGGACAAGATTCATTTGTTTACTCCACCTGCTTGCC